AAAACAATAGGGCCTTCGCCCTTTCAGGGCTTGGGCCCTAAAAATAATCGGAAGGAAAAAATAGGGCCTTCGCCCTTTCAGGGCTTGGCCCTAAATATAGCTGCGAGCAGCGATTGCGGCCCAAGCCGGTGCAGCAACCACCACAACCCGATGCCTTTAGTTACCCAAAGGCACCGGGATGGTGGTACCGCCGGCTTTGGCCCTTTATCGCTGCTCACAGCTATATTTATATTTAATATAAAGCCGGTGGCACCGCCACCTTGGTGCCTTTGGGTTATTCTGTACGACGTGTGAAAACGTAACCCCGCTTTTGACTATCAAAAAGAAGTGTATTTAGAGCTTGCATCAATGCGGACTCGATGCGCTGTGCGCTGTAACTCCATGTGGCTTTAAGCGCATCATTCTCCACTCGGGATGCGCATAAGCGTTTTGTGCCACACTGTACTGAGCCTTTCATATCATAATGCAGTGACGCAATGACAGATTATTAATTGCCTTTCTTGTTCTGTTCCATCTATTATATGTTGATAATAGATAGGACAGAGCACTAAAAACCTCAAACAAAGCACTGAAAAATAAAGCTGTTTGCTGTGTAGTCTGAGAATGAGCTGTTTGATTTGCACCCTCTTACTCTTCACTGTCCTCCATAAAAACCAGCTATCCAGGTCCATGTTGTTCTAGAAAGTTTGTATGTTGCTGCCTCAATTAACATCTCTGCTATACATTTAAAACATGGCTATATCTAAAATAATTTATCTTTTTGATTTTTGTTATCTTGTTTTTCATGAATATTTTACAACAATACAAAGAGCAATGTGTATTTTCCATTAATATAGTTTTTAATGGCTTTTTTGTCATAGATTATAATCATATATTTTTTGGATTTGTTATTTATCTTTATAATGAAGTTGTCTGTATTAAGTAGATTGTGTTTAACACACACAAGAGTGATGTATTAGTTCAACACATAGTTATAGAAATTCTACTTTATCTAAAAAAACCCTGCACTTTATACACACACACACACACACACACACACACACACACACACACACACAAATACATGTAAATAAAAATACAAAAAAAAAACATCAAATGTGTTTTTAGTCAGAGTATTATTTTATACAGAAACAAATATTTGTAATTCAGATAAGAATGAAGTTAGTGTTTTAAAATCTTAAGGAAAACAAATATATTGAAATATAGCACATGAATTTTTAATTCATTCAACTTCAATTACAAATACAATCTTACTTTTATTTAAAGCAAACTATACATTTAAAAGATGGGGGTTATATGCCTATTTTGTCATTTAAAAATATTGTTATGCAAAATTGTTATGCAAAAAGACAAGGACTTAGAGACAAGGACTTGTAGGAAAAATCGCAGCCAGCCACACACACACACACACACAAACACAGACAACAGCCCTCCCCTCCCCACACAGACACACACACCCACCCACCCACCCACACACACACACTCAGAGAGAGAGAGAGAGAGAGAGAGAGAGAGAGAGAGAGAATCGCAGGGGAATTAAATCCATTCAAACTACAATATCTGACTTTCTGTTGCTCAGAGCGAATGACTTTAAATTGGAAAGTTGATCGGCTTGATGAGAACAATATACGTGGTAAGTTTTGTAACTGTAGGTAAAATGAGCAAAGTTATAACACACTTTATGTGTCCTTTTTTAGTCATAAAATTCATTTCCTCGCCACGGCCAGACCGTTCGAGATATCAAAAATCCGTCCGGAATTGAGCATCCTCAATGTCTTGACTTCATGCACACCGAGTTTGGTTGTGATTGGTAAACACATGCGTTGTAATTTGATGTATTTCTCCTAGGACAATTATTCAAACAACCCATAATTCATAATTCATAAATAACTTCCATTTGAACTGTCATAAAACTTAGAGCACGAAAGTTGTTTGGCCTGATGTGATCTATAATTGTACCGAGTTTCATATTAATTCATGCAAGTGTGTTTGATTTATGGACAAATGTTCATCCCAGTCCAGGGGCGCTGTCGAGCCGCCCTGCCACGCCGGTTACCAGCTTCAGCCCGGCCCTGATGGCCATGGGTTCTGACCCGTGTGCAAAGTTTCAAGAGTTTTCGAGGATGTTAAGGCCCCCAAAAATGCCAGAGAAGTCGCACACAGCAAATAAAGGGTTAAAATTAACCTGACAGGCGCCCCTCCTCTCACTCACACAGAGGGACACTGAGAGACTGGCAAAATTCTGAGATTTTCTCTACATTCAAACAAAGATATCTGACTTTCTGTGGGTCCTAGCTAATGAGTGTCAATTAGAAAGTTGTCCGGCTCGAGGAGTACAATATACATACCGATTTTTGTAACTGTAGATAAAACTAACAACCCCACTTTTGTCAAAAGGTGGCGCTACTGAGCCCTCACCACGCCCGTTTCTGAAACTTTGCACATGTCTACTGGCTAAAAAATGTGATGTGTCTGTCGAGTTTCATGCAATTTAAAGCATGCTAAGAGTCTCAAAAGCATCCTAAAATAATGGTAAAGTTTGATGCGTTGCCACGGCAACAGTTTTAAAGATATCAAGAATCCATTCACAGGTCTTCATCTGCTGTGTATTTGCAGTTTACAGATTAAGTTTGAAGCAAATCGAGTAAAAATTAGAGGGTGATTTCAAAACATTTTGAAAATGACACACTTCCTGCTGCCAGTTGGTGGCGCTATAACTTTGACTCACAATAGTCACATCCATGTGATCGTCCTCTTACAGCGAACACACTGCTGAAGTTTCATCAAGATCGTTGATGTATGCTGAAGTTATTACACACTTTCTGTTTCACGTTTCTCGCCATAATTTTTGTCCTCGCCACGGCCAAACCGTTCGAGATATCAAAAACCCTCGCAAACTTCATCTTCAATGTCTTGACTTCACGCTGACCGAATTTCATCGAATTTGGATCAGAGCTCTAGGAGGAGTATTTAAAATTCCATTGCGAGTGTTTTACGACAACCCTAAATAGCCGACTTCCTGTTGGGCTGGGGTAAAAGTAAAAGCGCGAGGTATAGATGAAACGATGAGATCAACATGTGTACCGGGTTTCATAATATTATATACAAGCGTGTTTGAGTTATGGACCAAGTGTTCGGACCCCGTTCCAGGGGGCGCTGTCGAGCCCCCCTGCCACGCCCGGGTACCATCTTCAGCCCGGCCCTGATGGCCGCGGGTTCTGACCCGTGTGCAAAGTTTCAAGAGTTTTTGAGCATGTTAAGGGCCCAAAAGTGCCCGAATAGTCGTTAGAAAAATAAAAGAAAAAAAAAAAAAAAAAAAATAATCGGAAGGAAAAACAATAGGGCCTTCGCCCTTTCAGGGCTTGGGCCCTAATAATAATAATAATAATCCTAAGGAAAACAATAGGGCCTTCGCCCTTTCAGGGCTTGGGCCCTAATAATAATAGAAAAGAATAATCCTAAGGAAAACAATAGGGCCTTCGCCCTTTCAGGGCTTGGGCCCTAATAATGTTTTTGAAACTCTTTAATGTCAGAAGACTGTCGAGCAGCAGCACGGAGCGCAATGAACGATCACCTCATCATCTTTACTACTGGTTATAGCACAAAATAAACATGAATGGACATAAGAAGGTTTGTTGAAAAAAAAAAACAGTTACAACTTACTGAAATGTATCATTTCTCATGCAGTCGCTCAATCAGTTTCAATTGTGAAAAGACGTCAGTAAAAAAGCTTGGAAACAAAGTCACCTAACATTACATTTACCATATGGAAGCAATTCAGTGTCCATAGCTCATTAGTGAACTAGAAAAGTAACTCTAGAGAGGAGCATTTTAATAATATATTAAATGTGTTGTATATGGTGCATATTACATATTCACTTTATTTAACCTGTTAGCTGTCTAAAGTGTAACTCAAATGTTTGTATACAACAGTTTTTGATCATTAAATTAGATTAATTAATGGATTATTAAATAAGCTTTATATTCATTTTCAATTTTCAAATAATTGAAAACTAATTTTGGTTTTGATGTTTCAGTAAAAAAAATCAGAAAAAAATCAGTGTAATTGTATGTAATTGTGACTTTCTCATAAAGAGAAAAAAACCATATATTCATATGTACGAAAGTCTATGGCATATAAATTGGGCCAAACACTGACACTGAAAAGTCAACAATTATGAAAAAGCCATGAGAATGATGCAAGACTACAGAAATTTCACAATTAAGGCGTGTCCATCGGACAATGAAATGCTTATTGGGTCAGCAGGGTAGCTAAAAATGATTAAAATATAAAGACACATTAACTGTAAATTGCTGTAAGAATGAAGTGTAAAAACACCAGAAACCCTTTACTCACCAGTGACACCATTTTCCAGGACTGCAACCTTCCTGATATACCTATCGACTTGCATAATAATTATGCACGCACATGCAACATCACCTGACACAAGTATTCACTGGCACGGAAGAAAACCATTGATCATCATTGTTTTTTTCAGTGCAGGCTGGCTGGATGACTATGTAAACTCACTGTCTGGACAAATGTCCCTGTTATAGTCAAGACAGACATAGACATAAAAATGATGAAACCGTTTTCAAACTAAATAATTGTGAACATATATATATATTCTAACATACGGTGTATTTTAAAGATACTTGTTAACCGTTAAATATGTTTTAGTGCTTGATTTATGGATCAAATTGTATATCTTACAGGGAGCTGACACTGTTTTGGAGTAAACTTCTAATACGGCTCGAATCAAAACAGGCCTTTTTGGAGCAATGCAGACTGTTAGCATGCCTCGCTGTGAGTGTGTACCATATTCTGCTCCTCATCAAAGTCATTCAGGCTGAGGTAAGGAAAGGTTTTGTTTTATATCATTGTTTTACAAAAAACCAAGACAATGGCACTGACAATGACATTTTTTGTTTTCTCAGGATGAGAAAAATGGACTCTCAGTGTGCATCGAAATGTGTATTCAAGCACTAAAAATGGGAGTTCATGATAATGAGGGCTGTAATATCACTATCTGCAAAACAATCTCTTGTTTGCTGCCTTTGGATTTGGAAGTAAAACAGGCTTGTCAACTCACTGAGTTCCTGACAAATCCGTCTTTGGACTCTTACTATGCTGTTGAGACTCTTTTTAATGAGCCTGACCAAAAGCTTGAGCAGGAGGATCCACCAATTTTGAACTCACTACGCTGTGACCTGTTGTTGGCCTTAAAGACGAAGTGGCCTTTTGATCCTGAGTTCTGGGACTGGAAAACTCTAAAACGTCAATGCCTTGCTTTGATGGGTCAGGAGGCAACAGCTATATTGTCTACTGACAAATGTACTGACAGTGAAGACAATGAAGTCCATAACCATGATGAAAAATATTTTCAAGATCTACATTTTACCAATAGTCCTACCTACGAACTCAGTGAAGTTGAAGCAGAAAGAAAGAAGAAAAGGGAAATGAAGAAGATGAGAGAGATGGGATTTGTTTCTGCTCGATTCCGCAATTGGCAAGCTTATATGCAGTATTGTGTTTTGTGTGATAAAGAGTTCCTCGGACACAGGATTGTGAAGCATGCATTGAAGCATGTTCAAGATGGGATTTTCCGTTGCCCAATATGTGCTAAAACATTTGAAACTAGGGTAGTTCTAGAGCCTCATGTGGCATCTCATGTGAAACAGTCATGTAAGGAACGCCTTGCTGCTATGGGTGTAAGCAAGAAACGTACCAGTATTGACACCAAGTTGACAGCAGCTAGCAGTGCCGTGAAAAAAGAAGAGCACGACAGCAAAACTGCTGTTGAAGTTAGCAAAGGGACAGTTTGCAATAATAAAAGTGTATATGCTTCAAACTGTAGTCCCAGCGCAAAAGTCAAAAGTAAAATTAAAGTGTCATCCCCCAAACAGGGCAACCCTATCCGTGATGTTAACAACACTGAATGTTGTTCATGCCCTGTTACCAGTTGTCAAAAAATTTTCAAGTACTTCAGGAATTTGGTTGCACATGTTAAGGCCCACAAAAATGAGCAGGAAGCAATACATTTCCTAGAAATACAGAGCCAGAAGGCTTTTTGCCAGTATTGTCACCGTCAGTTTGTTAATTTGACCCATCTTAATGATCACTTACAGTTGCATTGTGGTGAGAAGCCGTATTTTTGCATTCAGCTTGGATGTCATTTCAGCTTTTCCTCTCATGCTGAGCTTCAGATACACAGAAAAGTACATGCTGAATTTCAGGCACAGTGTGCATATCCAAACTGTGAGAGAATATTCAACGAGACATACTTGCTGTATGATCATGAGGCACAGCACTACATAACGTTTTCCTGCAAAAGCCAAAACTGTGACAAGGTGTTCTACACTCTGTCTGAGCTAGATCTGCATCAGAAAGGACATGCAAAGAAGAAAGGCCACTCTGCTGTTGATGGGGGCTCGCCTTCTCAACTTGAAGTACTAACTCCGACTTTTCCTGCCTTAGAGCTGCCTCCAAGCCAAATGAACGAGGTTTCTCAAGAGTTTACCCCAGTAGAAAGGAAACACACAGTTGAAAGCATTATAGACAATGTTCAAGACTCCACAGAACAGCCTGAGCATCTTGTGCCATGCACAGCTCAGTTGACAGTTAGCAAAAATTATTCCCTAACAACTAATGCTGTTCAGCCTGATGAATCTAAGACACCTCATTGTTTTGAAAGTACAAAGCAATTGCATCTTGAATCTTGCTTTGTAAAGCTGGAGCCTATTCCCATCAAGTGCAATGATCCAAAATATATAGATGCTCTAAAGAATGCTGACAGTGAAACTCAAACACTCTTGAAAGATAAGAAATTGTTTTCTTTCACATTGCGTCAGCTTAAGTTGTCCACATTGAAGTCGTCTCGCTCCGTGAAAAAAGCCAACAAAGAAGAAGGTCTGACTCATGTGTGTCCATTCGAAACCTGCACACGAAAATACAGCACCTCAAAAAGTTTGTCAAGACATGTCAAAAATGTTCATTCTGAAGCTTTTGAGGAATGGAAGTTATCTAAGAAGTACAAAAGGATTGCAGAAATTGCTGCAAAAAAGTCAGCTGAGAGCACAACCACTAGTTCTCAGATAGCAAAATGGACAAGCCGTTCCAGACAAACTGAACATACTACATTCCTGGACTCAGTGCTTGAAAGTACTTCCTCTATTTTCTCCAATCACGATAGTATGCAGTCCATAAGTGCCAAGTTTTGCTCTCAGCTTGAAAACCCTCAAAGTGTAGCATTACCAAACCAGACAGATCTGATGCAATTTCCAATAACTCAGACATGGGCAGCACCTCCAATGGAGAATTTGGATTCAGGTTTTTCTGTACTTCCCTACAGCTCTACGATTTTGTCTGACAACCAGCACACAAACCCATCATACCATTCTGACACAGTCTTAGATTATGCGTCGCCCTCATCTTATGATGACATCAACCCCCTTTCTGTGAATGCCAATACACCCTCAAGTGTGATGAACGAAGCCTCAAAATATGTGTCAAGCTCTCTAAGAGTACTACATGCCTTTAACAGTGAGCAGACTTGTGACTTGTCACAGGTTGAGTCAAGCGTTAATCCTGGATTCAGTCAGATTGGACAAAACCATCCGGTGATATTTCCATCTGCCCTTTGTCTGGGCAGAATTGCAGCCTATATTTTTCAACTTTGCCTTCAGAGGCAGGTCCTATTTCAGTGCAGCCATTGGAAAATTCAATCAAAGAAATCAGCACTGATAGTACTGATGCATTACTCTCATCAGATGTCAAAACTGTGTCGAATCTTTTAACCCCTCATTTAAGGAATCATCGGACGATTTCTTTAGTGTTG